AGATATAAAATGTCTCGCCCATAAACCCTGGTTTCTCTACTGTTAGCATCTACTTGCCTCTTGAGCAGTCTCCTACATCATTGATACATAGGTTTCTGTACTTTTCCTGTCCCTAATCTCCTTACACGATATATTACGTACCTCCACAATCCTGGTCCCTAATCTCATTTCCTATATTAGATAAGTTGTACCCCATCAGAGTCTACAATCCATAGCAGCGACCCAGCATTTGATCGGCGCTGTATCCTACCACTCGTCCAACCAATAACTCCCTGTTTATCAGGGATTCAGACGTACACCCTATTTGTAGCTTGATAAAATTAAGAAAACCTAGTCGAAAATGTCAATACGAATTTCTCGCAGACTAAATTAAAAATTGGATTTTCTATTAAAACGCGCAAAATACGTCGTCTTTTAGGAATAATAACTTAACTATAAGTCTGTAATGTGTTAAGGTGCATGCTCTAGTTCACAAAGGCTATATATTTGTATGTATAAACCAAGTCGTGTGAAATCCTTTAATAGTTAAACAGGTTAATAAGTTTATTTAGACTACAACACCAAGGGTCCTGATACCCATTCTGATGGTCCAGCGAAAAAACACTTGCTGTCAATACAATGAATACATTTACTTTACACCTACGAATATAAAATGTGATTCAATTTTTCAGAATTTCTTTTCCGTTCGACTTTAGGACAAGGATCACAATAATCTTGCTGTATTAATGTCATTATTTTTAACGAAATAGTTCACTTGTACGTGTTGACGAACAATTAAGATAACCATGGTTTTCCAGTGAAGAATCTGCAAAATACGCTGCAGAAATATATTACCTTAGGCCACTTAACGATCACGAAACGATTTTTTCCTTTCGGAACAAAGATTTTACCTCGGGTTTTGTGTAGGGTTTGTGATATTTAAATGTTTCGTCCATTACTGTAGTCCTATAGTGTCGCATTTGACTTCTTTATGCTTTTATATAGTGGTTTATTCGTTGTTTTCTGCCGTTTATTGTGTATGACTTTAGGTGTGTTTATCCTCAATCGTTTTCCTCTGTTTTTTATTATGCTGTTGTTGTTTATCCTGCTGTTTTCCATCATATTTTTTTTATCAAACAGGTGTTGGTTATAGAGCTGATATGTACACTGAGGGTGGTCGGTCGACGCAGTGGAAAGCGTACTCGTCAGTTCACCAAGACGACCAGGGTTCGATACTCAGATCACACGTGGAAAGGCACCTGCCCGACAACGTGGGTTTTTCTCTGGGTGCTCCGGTTTCCTCCCTGCAGATATATTATAATCTCTTTATATTGTCCCCTTATTAGCCTAATAGCCTAATTGTCCAAAGGTCCAAATTAGTTGCGTCATACTTGTATATACTCATGCAGCTGGATACGGCAACAATTTTCATTCGCAAACGTAGAGGTGTCAGGAGAGGAAAAAGGAAGTAACACGAAAAAAATGACTGACTTTGCGTTGCATGCCGATGAACCACATAGGAATTATATAAACGGCGAGCGGATCCAATTGATGGTCCCATTAATGTTTGTCCTTATACGAACACGTGATCAACGTCAACATTTCAATTTGTTTCCTCGTTCTTAAGTACACCCGATCTTAAGTACACACTATTTGGAAAGAATACCGCTTTTGTCAAATTGTGTTTTTATTCAATTTATTTTTCAATTTTACTTTTTCATGTCATTTTGACAGAATGAAACAGGATGTGTATTGCAACGAACATGATCGTCTGTTAGAAGCCTGTGTATTCAGTTGAAGAAAATAAATTTCCAGAAGATTAAATTAATATGAGTTCGTATTCCCTGATCACTGTGCTTGAGAAAGACATCCATTCTATTGTTCGAAATAAAGCTGCACTTTAAAAACTTGACTACATTACTGGAGAGAGATTGTCACAGTTCCTGTTGCCTAATGTGTAGCCAGTACTTGGTTTTACCGCAGTGAGATAGCCACAGTTCCCTCCGACTAGGTTGTAGACAATTAACATGGCATACCAAAGCGAGATAGCCACAATTCCTTTGTCTAGAGTGTAGCCAGTAGTATGTTATACTGGATACTTGGTCTATCTAGCAAGGGTGTAACTAATGGAGCGTTTTTGCAATCGTCATAGTTCCCTCTGATAACAAGGTAAATAAGTGTCTGTTATATCAAATATCACCACAGTTTTCTCTAGCTTGAGTGTGTCAAATATAGAAGAGCTTACATGAGTGACCATGTCATCTTCAATTTATTGAACTCGTTTAATAGATTCAATATGACATGAACACGAATGTCAGATTTTATTCATCGCATATTATTCACTTTTGTTTGAAAAAAAAACACAACACAATTATGTGTTATCAGCCGACTCTAAATAGTTAAAACCAAAGTACTCCAATCATAGTATTGTAGTTCGGCGCAGTACATAGTAGTTCCAGATTTGTTTCTCTTTTCAAATCATAAAGTGTTTTAAATGCCATGAAAATAATAATCACAAAATAAGCTTTTCAAATTCAATTTAAAAAAACCGGTAAATGTATCATATTCTTATAGAACATAGAAGAAGTACCTTTAGTGGCGTAGGAATATTTTCCTAATGTTTTAATCAATCACAGCACCTTTAAGTTTTATTACACATGCGTAAAATCATATTGATGACATGGACGTATGACATTGTAAAATTGATCTGTTACGTGATAAAATGTGTCATGAAAATCGTCATAGTTCCCTCTGATGAAAGAGTAACTAAGTGTAAGTTGTATCAGAGATCACCACAGTTCTCTCTAGCTTGAGTGTGTCAGATATAATGTGTTATGGAAATCGTCATATTTCCCTCTTACTGGAGTATAGCCACAACTGTAGTAATGTTTTCTACTCAAGCGAGATTTTACAGTTCCCTTCTGCCTAGAGTTAAGATGGCATGATGGTATACTGGAGCCAGATCGTGACAGTTCCCTTCTGCCTAGAATGTAGATGGCATGATGGTATACTGGAGCCAGATCGACACATTTCCCTTCTGCCTAGAGTGTAGATGGCATGATGATATACTGGAGCCAGATCGACACAGTTCCCTGCTGCCTAGAGTGAAGATGGCATGATGGTATACTGGAGCCAGATCGCCACAGTTCCCTTCTGCCTAGAGTGTAGATGGCATGATGGTATACTGGAGCCAGATCGTCACTGTTCCCTTCTGCCTAGAGTGAAGATGGCATGATGATATACTGGAGCCAGATCGACACAGTTCCCTTCTGCCTAGAGTGAAGATGGCACGATGGTATACTGGAGCCAGATCGTCACAGTTCCCTTCTACCTAGAGTGTAGATGGCATGATGGTATACTGGAGCCAGATCTTCACAGTTCCCTTCTGCCTAGAGTGAAGATGGCATGATGGTATACTGGAGCCAGATCGTCACGGTTCCCTTCTGCCTAGAGTGTAGATGGCATGATGGTATACTGGAGCCAGATCTTCACAGTTCCCTTCTGCCTAGAGTGAAGATGGCATGATGATATACTGGAGCCAGATCGACACAGTTCCCTGCTGCCTAGAGTGAAGATGGCATGATGGTATACTGGAGCCAAATCGCCACAGTTCCCTTCTGCCTAGAGTGTAGATGGCATGATGATATACTCGAGCCAGATCGTCACAGTTCCCTTCTGCCCAGAGTGAAGATGGCATGATGTTATACTGGAGCCAGATCGTCACAGTTCCCTTCTGCCTAGAGTTTAGATGGCATGATGGTATACTGGAGCCAGATCGTCACTGTTCCCTTCTGCCTAGAGTGAAGATGGCATGATGGTATACTGGAGCCAGATCTTCACAGTTCCCTTCTGCCTAGAGTGAAGATGCATGATGATATACTGGAGCCAGATCGACACAGTTCCCTTCTGCCTAGAGTGAAGATGGCATGATGGTATACTGGAGCCAGATCGTCACAGTTGCATATGTGTTTAGTGTAGCTAGTAGTGCATTATGTAGTCGCAGTTGCCTCTAGCTTCAGGTTAGCATTAAGTGTGTAATACTGGAGTAATTTTTAAATATCTTTCTCTCTTGAGTGTAACTAATAATGTGTTCTACTGTCTGAAGACCGTCACAGGTCCCTCTGTCTAGTGTGTTCCTACCTTTATAGTCGAAAATCAGGTGACTACGTTGACTGAACAATTGATGATTGTCTTTTTTATGTCAAATTTTGTTTCCTTATGTTTCCCTATGTTACATTGTAACACAAATTATCTTACGACCTGTGTTGAAACATCAAGCTTTATACGACCTCTGTTGACATCAGTCATTATATGACCCGTGTTGACATCAGTCGGTATGTAATCCACGTTTTGACAGCAGTCATTATATGACACGGTAGTCTAGTGGTAGGACGCCGGGCTCGTGATCGACGGGTTGCGAGTTCGAGTCACTTCATGGTCACTGTTGTTTCTTTGAGCAAGATACTTAACTCCGCTTGTTCTAGTCTACTCAACTGTAAATGACTACGTGGTTGCGAAGTGCTAGTAATTTAAAATGCTAGCTGTGAGCGCCAAAATGACGGCACCGGATGTATGCTCCCCAGGTAGTTAAGAAATATATTGGCTTTTTACAGAGGCCCTATAACCACGGATTATAATATGTGAACCGCTTTGAGACGACCTGCGAACTGGGTTGTAATAAAGCGGTATATAAGAACCTCGAATTATTATTATTATTATAACATCCACTGTTATACGACCTCTGACGGCATGAATCGTTATATGACGTCTGTTGATTCAGCCATCATATGACCTCTGTTGACGCCAATAGGTATTTGACCTATGTGTTGACAAAACCCTTATATGGATCAATGTTGGCATCAATCGTCATATGACTTATGTCTTGTCAAAAATAGTCAACAGCCTATCTTATCATGAATCATTATTTGACATGTGTGTCGGTCTCCGTCATCATATGACATGAGTGTTGATATATATTTGTATGTTCTTACAGGATAACAAAACGCAAACAAAAGCTTGAAGTAGTTTGTGTCAGACACAAGACACCATGTTATGTTTGTAATTGTTTCTTTCATATAAGTTAACATATAACAAAATGTACACGCAAAACAATTTAAAGGTCTCTGAATATACACACTCTCTGAATATGTACAGTTTCTGGATATATAGTACACCATAATTTCCATGCAGAAGATTTAGTGAATATGAATTTTCATTCATAAGGTGGGATAGCACGGTGTCTGTGAAAGTGACCGTGAACGTAAAAGCTAGATATTCTAATCCTGTTTGCAAACACCATCGATTTGTGCTTAAAAATATAATGCGTTCAACTTTGATAGTCTGAAAGAGGTGTTGTGGTTTAAACATGTTTATACGACTGTAAACATACGTGTGCGTTTTATATGGTCTATCTTACAGGTGACCTTTTAAACAACTCGAAGAACTGGGGCATGCTGATGCCTAATAGACGTTTCAATATCGCAAATAAAGGTTTATAACCTTATCGTGGAGTAAAGTCCATTTGTCAGTAGCAGCCATATGTCTTATGAATTAAAGTAGCGTCCTGTCTTCAGATACGAGAAGAATGAACAATCATATTTATACCCTGGAATGGTTTCCGTTTAGCCTATGGAAGCGTTAGCCACCATATCACCAAAAGATTAGTGATCATATCAACATATACAACAGTCAGTACTGGTAGAGTTTCCAATTGTTTGATTTAGCTCAATCACCCCTGACGACACATTTTAATTATCCCAATTCAAAGGTTTGAATAGTTCATTATGAAATGTCAGGGGTGGATGAGGTTCTATCCTCTAGTTCTAGAACTGGAAAGGTCGTTGTCTCTGGTTATGTCTCTTGCATTGTTCCTTGACCCGCGACATATTGTGACTGATGCTAATGTCTTTGTAGGACTCCCAGTTGACCCGCGTGATCAGTTGTTCTTGCAGCTCTTCGTCCGTAGGATAGGGGGACACCTGTAATGGATGATAGTTCACAGTAAGATGAATGTCATTTCTAAGAACAAAAATAAAAGTACTAACTTGTCAAGGCTATCGTGATACACAAAGAAATGTCTGGTTAAAAACTTTGAATTTATTTCGTCCAACAGATCATGTGACAACCCAATTCATATGTCGTAGCAGACATAGGTTTAAACTTCAAAACAAAACGGTATGAAAATATAACCTAGTTATAAGTTGTTAAATAACAAAGAGTAAACAAATACCGAAAGCACATCCGGATATGACGTAGTTTTTGGTCTGTCGAGCTAAACACTGTCGAAGGAAACCAATATTTCTTAAAAGTAATCATTTGAATCCTTTATTGTCTGTTTTCCACATTAAGACGGAAACCAGAAAATGGCTGTATATCCCCCTTAATCTGGACAGCGGCAAAGGCAAAAAATATTACTTTCTAAACACGTGACAAATTGTTTGTAGAGATTTTCGATACCGTGATAAATTTATTGGGTTCTCGCCACCTTAAGTATGCGAGTAATCCATGGCGACGATTAGTTCTGTATCGATCTGGAGAGAAATATTGAGATAAATGTATTAGTATTCGCATCTTCACACCACGTGACATGATATCGCTGTACTCCAGACGCTTGTAAATGAAACGTCTAATAACTTCGTTATCAACTTCTCAAAACTCGCTCGGTTAATCGGAAGAACTTCCCCAGATGTCTGCTTTGCCGTGGTTTTCTATGGCGGTCTTGCTGATGGAATTTAGGGGTATGACGCAGGTGGTTATATATTTATACAATCATGTTTATTTCGACACTTCCATTTTCATGTAAATATAATTTCTATGCATTTGAATATATATATTCATATCAATTCAACTAAGCTCTCAAATTCATAAATTTGAAAATATTGAAACCTATATTACTTCCGACCTTAGATTAGAATTTTTTTTATTTATTTGACACACATCCTTTGTGGTTATCATTGAATGATGGTCAACAGGTTTTAACTGGGTATTACAGTGTTAATGGCTAGATGAGCTGTTATCACTTTTTACGCCTACTTCACTATGACATTTACGAGAGTCCAGAGTTCATCAGGGAATTGATCGGCCCAAACAAACGCGGTGATTAAAACGGTTTATTCTTGATAAGACATTTTTATATTTATGGGCGATTACATGGATTTTGTATTAATCCAACAGTATTTGACAATTTTTTTTTTGTACTTTTTTCCATCGCTAACACGTGACCTTCCATATAAGGGCACGTCGCATGTTCTGGCAATATGCGTGTACCTGCAATCCACTTTGTCATTCCAATCTCGATCGGTTTTGATTGATTTTATTCGTTCTTATCAGGGAACGTCGGGCCGACAATTGAATTCCATTACCAATCCCAAGAAATAATTAGAAATAATGCACTACCTAATAGGCACAATCTGTTTGAACAGGCTCAATTTATGAAAAAGACATCCCATTCACTCCATCGGAATGCAAATTGCTATAAAACAGCTAAATATAACTGAACACTGTCATGCACGTGCCATCGCCCTAGCACTAGTTGTCAGTGTTACGTCGAGTTGGCCTCTCGTGCCGAAATACCGCTATCGTTAGATGCATATATAACGGGAAAGGTCACGCGAGATCTAAATGTCTGTTCGACTTACATAAGAGAAAGAACTCAGTGGTAATGGCGCTTCATTGTCCGAGTCAAGATGTGTTTGGTAAAAACACATCAAACAACCGCTTAACGTAAACACATATAAGCACATTCTCCCCCTGCGATGTTTCAATTTGATTTGATTTCACCATGGAGAATACGTGTTTGCAGTCCCGACGTAATTAACTTGGAAAATTATCCGTGGTATTGTCTGCTTAGAACACACGCTGGCGGGAGTAAATTTGAACAGACAACATCATGTTATGTAGATACTAAGGTTTCAAACGTCATGTCAACTTTCTGGAAGTCAAATAATCAAACGTGTCTCAGACAACCTATTTGTCGGTCAATTTATGCGCATATCATACTTGAATGTTTCAAGTGTAAAAGCTCACGTCGTCTTCAAAGATGAATCAGCATATACCCCATTGCTGTTTCGATACCTTGAGACCATCAAGTCTCTACGGTAGGCGGATTCAAATAGTGCACATAGTAAATTAAACAGTCTAATTTACTAATAGATTCCCACGTTGAACAAATGCTACCAAGTCTAGACATAATCTAAAATGTTCATGAACATTGACAAATGGCTTCGTTATTATAAAGGTTAGGCACCTATCCCGGCATGCATTATTCTTTCACTTGTATAAGTATCTATTTGGATTTTGTGACTTCAACAATATTGCCTCCAGAAGCGTTGATGAGGTTTTCTTCATTCAAACATGCATGTCCCGTGCACTAAAGTCGGCATTTCGTGTGTTTCATTGATCCCGATAGAACATTTTACATTTTAAATCAGAAATGGGAGTGAACTAGTTCATTCTTTGAGAAATGACATTTTTTATATCGGAATGATTTTGTATTTCGCTGCTTATTGCCAGGGTTCGGAAATGTTAATGTTCGTCATGCACGAAAGGGCTGGGCATTTCATAAATTGCCTTGTGCAAGTATAGGGGGCTGTAGTTTTATTTTATACTCGGAGGCCGGACACATGAATATGGGCTAGCGTCCACACACACGAACACATATCGAACAAAACCGCAAACCCATCCATCACACATTATATCTTAGACAATTCATGAAAACTCCATAAAACCTTCGAATTGATTGATGTCTGCAATGATCTACCAGATATTTCCAAACTACCCGTCAAGATCACCCAAGCGTTTGAAATATACTGGGTGACCAAGACGTCAGTGTAGACACCAGACACCCCGTATCTGTGATAGTACGTGGCGGGATCACTACCGGTTATAAAACCATCGAATTTTTTATGTTGTTATTATTTTTGTTATTTTTTGGTGAAGTTTGTGGGATGCTTTCGCGAATAGATTTTGCGATATGTGATTGCTCGAAATGTGTAGATACAAAGCAGAGTACTGTATTATTTTAGAAACCTAGTGTTCGTTGTTCTGATAAAACATGAATGATTCCCGTATGTTTTCTGAGTTCCCGACGGTTTAAATATGTAAACAAGATATCATCGTGAGTAGTCAAAGCTTTGTAATAATTGAAGAAAAATAAGTAGAATTTGACCTGTTAACTCGGCATTGAATTGTGTAAAAAATATTATGGTTACTTAGTTGTTGGTATCTGTTCTAATATATTCCTCAATATCACGTCCCCGCTCCTTGTGATAATGCATCTCCTTAAGATTGTCAATTACTTGTAAGAATAAATATCCCCATGCAAAGTCAGAGATGTTATAATATATTTACCTGATTGGTCAGTCTGTTGACCATCTTGTGATTAGTCAGACATATTATATCTAGCTGATTGGTCAGTCTGTCGACCATCTTAGGATTAGTCAGAAATATTAGATCTACCTGATTATTCAGTCTGTCAACCATCTTGGGATTAGTCAGAAATATAACATCTACCTGATTAGTAAGTCTGTTGACCATCTTGTAATTAGTTAGAAATATTATATCTACCTGATTGGTCAGTGTGTTGACCATCTTGTGATTAGTCAAACATAGTATATCTACCTGATTAGTAAGTCTGTTGACCATCTTATAATTAGTCAGAAATATTATATTTACCTGTTTGGTCAGTCTGTTGACCAGCTTGGGATTAGTCAGCAATATTACATCTACCTGATTATTCAGTCTGTCAACCATCTTGTAATTAGTCAGAAATATTATATCTACATGATTGGTCAGTCTGTCAACCATCTTGTAATTGGTCAGAAATATTATATTTACCTGTTTGGTCAGTCTGTTGACCAGCTTGGGATTAGTCAGAAATATTATATCTACCTGATTGGTCAGTCTGTCAACCATCTTGGGATTAGTCAGAAATATTACATCTACCTGATTATTCAGTCGGTCGACCATCTTGTAACTAGTCAGAAATTGTATATTTACCTGATTAGTAAGTCTGTTGACCATCTTGTAATTAGTCAGAAATATTATATCTAGCTGATTGGTCAGTCTGTCGACCATCTTGGGATTAGTCAGAAATATTATATCTACCTGATTGGTCAGTCTGGCGACCATCTTGGGATAAGTCAGAAATATTATATCTACCTGATTGGTCAGTCTGGCGACCATCTTGGGAGCCTTCTGTAGGTGTTGTTTGAAGAGTCGGCGGCTGATTCGGACACAATCAGCTCCATTACTAACTACTATCAAACTAGGCTGAGGCTGGTCTTCGAACACGATGTATTGTAGACCCTGCGAGTGGACATCAGTTTAATGACATTACCAAACAACAGTTAGAAGAAAAGCAACAATAGATAGATCAATGTGGTTTGAAGACAAATATCAGTTTTATGTAAAAAGGTCAACTTTCAGTACCGTCTTAGCCCTGATATTGTCAGAATTTTGTGGACAATGAAACGTCCTTGACCTTATTTTGGAAACCTACGGCGTCCAATACAAAATTATCAAATAATGAAAACATAAACTATACAGTTTATATGTCTATAATCTCATCTTATCGTTACTTTAAACACAGGTTATACATTTTGCTAATACAGACATATATTATTAGGCAAGTCACTGCTGACAGTACAGTGTTAGTATTGGTAGGTCTGTATCATTATGTCGGATTGCCTGTGGGTCTGTTTTTGTTATTCTGTTTTCATTTAATAATTTATGCATATAATTAACATGTTTGGGGATGCACAAGTGTTCTCTCTATAGATACTCTACTCATGATGTCTATCATCAGTCCAGCGTGACAAGTGCAAGCTAGAACAAGTGATGATTTAATTCTATTGTAAATATTGTAAATATCCTCACTCAAAAGAATGGCAGCCCATTGGATTATTCCACAATCAAATATGAAAATTAAATATAATATAGTTTATGATGTTTCAAGAGTTTCTATTTCACCTCTTAAATCTTACCTTCACTTATATCTACATGTATCTAATAAAGATATTTTTTATAAATAAATTTCAAATTTTCTTCTAAAACTTTCTGGTGTTTACATTTTTCTTCGTTACGTGTAATTGTCCGTTACCTGTCAATTGTTGAACACAACAAAGGAGAGGTACGGCCCATTAATGGACAAAGCGAATATTTTACTTCATTTTACACTCTAGCATTTATGTACGATGATAACCATCGATGATGATACAATTACAGCTGAATCACCCCAAAATCGTTTGTGTTGTGCAAGGATCTGAGGACGGTATGAATACTAGGATATAATAGAGAATAAATGATATAAGAAGGAAAGAAAATGCAAGCAGCTGGATTGTATTAAAAACATCGCATAAAAGTTTTTTATCATATCTACTGCATTTTTTATTGGTTGTTTGATATTTTTATCAATACTTACAAATACTTCGCCTTTTTTAAGTGTTTGTACCTTGACAAACAGAGGGTTTCTATCCGCCTCCGTCTCTTCATGTTCCTGTGTAGGTAAACAAATCAAAAGTGTAACATTTACTGGCGAGTTATATGTATACACAAGTATAGACATACGGCTAACATTCTGTTAACAGTCTGGCATTTGAAAACTCGTATCTATTCCTCGAGCTGTCAAACCAATGTTTGTATCGAAGTTATTGTTACACGTATGTGGTTCAAGATTTGAAGCAAAAAGTCTATCAATCAAATTATTTGTGAACGATTTCAGAATCACTTAAGGTGGAAACAACTAAAGTAAGGGCAATTCTGCAGGGGGTGAAAATTGCATTTTTTTCAAATCTTCAAAAGTAACTAATATAATGAGTTAAAATATATTTCAGAATCTTTTGATAAGCTGTATTCGATAGAAAGAACTATTTTTACCGACATGTGACAGGACTTGCAGAAATTATAAAGAAATAACAAGAAGTTCGGCATAAAACAATCTTATGGTACTGCATTGTTTGTTTGTGAAATTCTGATATCATAAAGGAATTGTGCGCTGTATCAAAGACGACACGAGAGAAAATAGTCCAAAAGGAAATGGAAGCTTTGCCATACACAGAGGGTGGGTGAGGTGGCAGATGAAACGGTGGGCATGTTTATATTGAGTTTTCACTTATTAAGATTTATGTGTGTTGTGATGAAATGCCACAGCTCAGCTCTGACAGTGCGATGAGGTGGCAGTGTTTTCAATGTAGTAAAAGCTGTCTCCGCACGTACTGTTTACTGGCCTAAACACGTGACAGTGGACCATTATGTACAAGTTTATATACCACAGGTTTGTTATTGTACCGAAGCTGACAAGACAGAAATTTAATCAGCAATTTGTTCCCCGTGTTTAAAAATCGATGGAAACCTACTCCAATTGGGAAACTAAAGTCAAATAATCACGGTGTTTGGAAGGGAAAAGGCATCTGCGCTCCCTCCATCTCTACATATATATATGAGGCAAAGAAGTAATTCCACATATATATATATACACATGTTTATGTCTGGGAATGATTTGGGAATTCATTGAGCACCAGTTTTAGCAATTCAACGGTTCTGTCGCCCAACAATCCTCTGAAATTGCAGTTTAAAATGCAGCATGCCTTCCCAATGGCTTTGAAATGTTACCAAAACCGAACTGTCGCATTACCTTGCTTTCTAATAAATCAGTTTTGATTATAGAATCTTCTTCAATAAGAGTTCGAAGACGCTGGGAAATGAACCATATACCTCTTATGTGTAAACAAAATATTCATTTAATGTTATAAACCATTATATATATAAATGAAGTTTCTATAAACGTGGTTCTAATGCATATTTGATCAGTTAAATATTGGTTTTAATCAGATCGAAAGTGAGACCATATCTTATTGAATTACTAGCCCTTTTACAATGAGCCGAATAAATATATATTTTGATTAAAGTCAAAATACAAATGTAAACTTCGCAATCTGATTGTTTTTCAAAGAATCTCATTACCAAAATATCTTCTACACACTACATTAAAGAGAAATACGTTAGTAGTGTTCAGCAATTCGACTTATAAATTGTCATGGCAATACAAAATACATTTTGTTACCTGCTGTCTAATGAGAAATGAAACAAAGCCACATACTTTCACTAACTAGGACTAGAAGCTGACATTTGAGGTATCGGAGGATTTATATGTATTACATCTGAATTCTTCGGCAGTGGAGTCCATCAATAGTCTTCATATAAAACGTTTTTAGAAGAAAAAAGGCATATCCAAAACTTATGGCGAACATTTAGTTTATCTTTTTTAAAATAAATGCATTTTTTGTTTTGCAATGCCCAGTTGGGAAAAGTGAAAAAGTTTCAAACCTATTTTATAGGCGATAGTCAGCATTTATCAATAGGAAAACAGGAAGACCTTTTTTTCCCCAATAATTGTCAGTTTCAATGTTGAATTTATCTGCTTTTACTCGAACACATAGTCATTGCAATCATCTGCGTAAAATAATGTAAAATTCATCCTAAAAATGTCTTGACGAAGCTATATGGTTCCTAGGAAAACATGGCCGCTCTTTTCAAGGTCATTTTTCGGTCTGAAAAGCTCTGCAATACTTGAATTTCATTTGAAATGAACGAAGTGACTAAATCTTCTTTTATTTTGATGTAGAAATAAAGATATTTTGTTGACTGTTTAGATGGGTGACTGAAAAATGCGTCGAAACATATCGCTATTCTTTATTTTACATCCCCTGTAAATGGTGTCGTTAACTAGCCACAACCAGGTTTGGTACCTACCTGTGTGATAGACACCGCTTGTCTGTGTTTTGTGTCCACTAAAGAAACAAAAACATCGATGCATACCTCATGTCTATATTGTTCGTCCCGAATAGAATGCATTGATACGTACCGCCAGTCTGTACTGAGCGTCCCAGTCGTCAAATATCGTCCTCCGACCTTCTCGTTTTTCGGGAGCCGGGTTACCGTTCACGTCCCGAATCTCCACGTTTTCTGTTTAATAAATGATTGTAAATACACTATTCTAGCTTTATTCACGTTCTTTAAAAAAAAGGTCATCTCGTCGGTACAAAGAAGGCACGCTAGCTGGACGTTCCCAGTATCATAGTAATCCTAACTACTGCATTAAAGGAAGGTCGTTTGACCACCTTGACAGGACGTTGGTTCCGATGTTGAAACTCTAGCTCTGTAATTGACACTTATGATACAACTTTAATAAGTTTAAACGTACATGTAGATACTATTCAATAATGGCGGATGGTATGATAACACTGGTATTATGTCGTTGTGCCGGCTGGGTACTATTAGTGTCAATGAATAAGTTCACGAACAAGAAGCAAAGTAAAACTTTTATGTTTTGAAGAGAAGGATTTAAAATGCATTCGGAATTTTGATTGAATGTCATTATGGCTAAAAGATGTATATGCCTTATATTACCGTTGAAGGCACTCAATTTACTGACACAGACTTTATGTGCAACATTAATAATACCATTCGAAAATTTAGAATTAATTATTAAATAGTTAATTACTATTCTTTAACAAATTACAATTTCCTTTTCAAACGATACAAATTTAATTCAAAATTAACAACAATCAGAAAAAAATCTTCACCTTCTTCTTTTTCACTTTTTTCTGTCTCGGTCATTGAAGTCAGTGTCCTTGGATTCGACTAAAACATAAAGCGTTGTTAGGATTTCGATGCAGGGGAGCAACTATTACGTGTTCAACCACGAACTGACCAGCAAACTGGACTTAAATTTGCGACAATATGAAGCCGCTTATCTAAAATAAATGTACGGTGTAAGGGAAGCAACTCTTACATTCTTACAGGTATGACTTGACAGGCAGATCCGTGCAAAAGTTGAATGCTAAAATCATGATGCAGGGGAAGCAACTCTTACTTCTTTTAAAAGTATGATGAGACAGCAATGCATAATACATTTTTCGATGTGTAATATTTTTCTCTCAAAGCGATTTTCGTTTATTACTCTCCATCCCTCCATACATTTTAGGAAGGAGAGGGGGCCGCTGGCGATCGACCCAGTCCAGTTCCGCTACATATTGATTATGAAAATTGAAAGATTTGTTAAGTTATGCTCGCAAGTAATCTGATTTTTTTTATCGAACATTATGTTTGCAACAATCCACGAGGTGTCTTTTGTATGATTGCGTTAGCATGCCATCGAAAAGGTATACCTTCTGATGTCGATATATGGCGGATTTGGCAAATCTTTCTCGACGCCCGGACGTGGGCGTGGTCATGTGGAAGGCGGTTGAGGGGCGGAGCACTTGGTCCAACCTTTCCAGGAGGGGTGCTGACTTGATGTCGTAGCTGAGATTGCTCCTGGCCGAGAGGGGGGTGTCCTCGCTACATTCATCGTCGCTGTCCATGGACAAGGCGTGAGGGATATGCAGACCTAGAAATTAACAAACAGTGACTAAGATTTTGCACAGGTAATTCTTGTTTTGTTATCTAAAACTACGTTAAGAACTTTTAACATTTCTACCAATTACGGAGTGTCCTTACTAGACAGATATATATAAAAAAAAAAAAAAATCTGAAGTTGACAAAATTATATTGGTGTTTTGTCACCATTGTGAACAGTGTTAACAACTAACAGCGACTATTGAGTGACCCACCCATCTTATCTTATGTAAAACAGATCTGACACCAAGTTTCACTAACCTAATCAAATCCACTCTTGTAAGTTTTTCATACTTTATACAAATAATGTCGAATTCCTTGTCAACGTTATTGAGGGAAGGGTGACAGACAGAGTTACGGACGTGTTCATACTCGTCCGTGGATTCTGTCGTCAAATGCCCTTTGCTATTGTGTGCACGTGCAATACATAAGGTCATATGAGTAGGTTGTCCGTAGAAGATGGACTATTCAAAGGCCGCCTGGAAGTGTCATCGTGTCGCAAACAAGTAAACACGGAGAATATAAACGGGGGAAGGAGTGTAGGGGTGAATGACGGATCATATTGATGATGTACGTACCGTTGTATCGGGCATGTCTGCTGTAGTCTGTGTCCCGGACGAGGAAAGCCTGGTACCCGTCCGTATGCGCCTTTTGCATGTGTCGTCCCGTCTTGTGACTAACTGACGGTAGTGTTTTCACAAGCTTTTTGAGCACCTGGATCGAACCCTACAGAAAACAAGGAAACGGGCACTTGCATCTCATCTTAGATATGGTACAGCTTGCCAGGACACTTTAGAAAAATATGTGGTTGTAATGAAACTTTGATACCATTATTTTTTAACTGTCCTCGAACTTATTATTCCAGGCCTACTACACCCACAAGTTCGCCGACATGTATAGCAAAGTCTTTCAAGACACTTAAGGTATTTGTCTTTGTATATTTCCTGAATATCTATGTATTCATTCATTTATTCATTTACATTCTTCTGTCTCTTTTACTATCAATCGTCCATTCATTTTCTACCGTTATAACCATTTTGTGTTGAGATAGTATCTCTTCCCGAAACATCCACTGGACAACTTTAAAGTACCAATCTTACCGACTTGACTATGTAGAGCCAGTCCGACCGTCTACTATCGAACTCCATGACCGTGTTACGTCTGGTGGAGAAATAGAATCAAGATTACACTTTTATAATAAATGGTGTCACGTGGTTATTTTTCGAATATTTAACCTTTCTTAGCCTTGATAAATGAAACGTATATAAATAAATATAGGTACACACAAAGTATATTCAAACAAAACCATAGTATAAACAGTTTAAAAAGGAAAGAGGCCAAGCTCGATAATCCACTCCTAACGCCCAGCCAATGTCGACGTCTAATTTTAACCGTAATAAAACAATAAAATTGTCTATTGTCTATTTTATACTTTTATAATCATTCAATGAAAAAACAAATACAAGAATGGAATCATAACCTTTTTTATGTCTAGGACTTTGAGAACATTTTTATAACACCAATAACGACTTACTGTACGTAGCTAGTCATAAACTGTTTCGGGTGATCCTTCAGTATATGTAAGGGCCAGCCTTGCAGAAAACTCTGGTTTCTGGTGGAATAAATATAAAATGTATCTGATATTGCGTGCGAGTTATCCCCCTTTACCCACCTGGTGCTGCGTGAAAGTATGTAGTACGTATACAGTGTAATTTAAGACCGATATGCATTCTCTTGCAAAATTCATCCATACATTGACTAAGGGAAGTGTATATTCCTTTAAGTCAGGTTATAACGTAAACAGTACCGTGGACAATTACTGCATAGTCTGGTCACACATTACACTTTGCTCCGATTGAAAACTTGTCGCAAGAATAGCATTACATTGCTAATATATATATTATATAAATATGCGACGTTAAATAAACATTCTTGTATTTTGTATCTTCACGGTTATATCAGCGAAAAACAAATTATTTTTAGTTGTTTGATTTTTCCACTGTGACATGTAAACAAATGTATTATATTTAATACTTTAGCATGATAAACTTACAGTAAAAAGGGGTCTACCTCGGGATCCAGCCTGTTTCCTCCCATCACTATCGTTTTGAAGTCCTTAGTAACATAACAATACGTATATCTATAATACAATAACTGTTTTGATTGTAAACTAATACAAGACTTTAATTGTTATTCACGGAATAAAATGTACTGTTCACACATAAAATCTTGATTATTGTTGATACCACTGGATATTGTCATGGCTAATTGTTGATACCACTGGATATTGTCATGGCTAATTGTTGATACCACTGGATATTGTCATGGCTAATTGTTGCGTGAATCTCCTACATGAAATGTATACTTTGGTTTTATCAATGTTAATGGTTATTTCGTAATTTAAAAAGAAAATGTTGTATAAAAATGACTGCATACTTCGTAATTATATAGCATAAACTTCTTATACATGTACGACGTGGTCGCAGCTTAAGTCGGAGTCTGTATCTATCATTATCATAAGTCGGAGTCTGTATCTATCATTATCTTAAGTCGGAGTCTGTATATATCATTATCTTAAGTCGGAGTCTGTATCTATCATTGTCTGTATCTATCATTATCTTAAGTCGGAGTCTGTATCTATCATTATCTTAAGTTGGAGTCTGTATCTACAATTATCTTAAGTCGGAGTCTGTATCTATCATTATTATAAGTCGGAGTCTGTATCTATCATTATCTGTATCTATCATTATTATAAGTCGGAGTCTGTATCTATCATTATTATAAGTCGGAGTCTGTATCTATCATTGTCTGTATCTATCATTATTATAAGTCGGAGTCTGTATCTATCATTATTATAAGTCGGAGTATGTTTCTAGCATTGTCTGTATCTATCATTATCTTAAGTCGGAGTCTGTATCTATCATTATCTTAAGTCGGAGTCTGTATCTATCATTATCTTAAGTCGGAGTCTGTATCTATCATTATCATAAGTCGGAGTCTGTATCTATCATTGTCTGTATCTATCATGATCTTAAGTCGGAGTCTGTATCTACAATTATCTTAAGTCGGAGTCTGTATCTATCATTATCTTAAGTCGGAGTCTGTATCTATCATTATCTTAAGTCGGAGTCTGTATCTATCATTATCATAAGTTGGAGTCTGTATCTATCATTATCATAAGTCGGAGTCTGTATCTATCATTATCATAAGTCGGAGTCTGTAACTAGCATTATCTTAAGCCGGAGTCTGTATCTATCATTATCTTAAATCGGAGTCTGTATCTATCATTGTCTGTATCTATCATTGTCTGTATCTATCATTGTCTGTAACTAGCATTATCTTAAGTCGGAGTCTGTATCTATCATTATCTTAAATCGGAGTCTGTATCTATCCTTGTCTGTATCTATCATTGTCTGTATCTATTATTGTCTGTATCTATCATTATCTTAAGTCGGAGTCTGTATCTATCACTATTATAAGTCGGAGTCTGTTTCTATCATTATCTTAAGTCTGAGTATGTATCTATCATTATCATAAGTCGAAGTCTGTATCTATTATTATCATAAGTCGGTGTCTGTATCTATCATTATCATAAGTCGGTGTCTGTATCTATCATTATCGTACGTCGGAGTCTGTATCTATCATTATTATAAGTCGGAGTCTGTATCTATCATTATCATAAGTCGAAGTCTGTATCTATCATTATCATAAGTCGGTGTCTGTATCTATCATTATCATAAGTCGGAGTCTGTATCTATCATTATTATAAGTCGGAGTCTGTATCTATCATTATCTTAAGTCGGAGTCTGTATCTATCATTATTATAAGTCGGAGTCTGTTTCTATCATTATCTTAAGTCGGAGTCTGTATCTATCATTATCTTAAGTCTGAGTCTGTATCTATCATTATCATAAGTCGAAGTCTGTATCTATCATTATTATAAGTCGGGGTCTGTTTCTAGCATTATCTTAAGTCGGAGTCTGTATCTATCATTATCATAAGTCGGAGTCTGTATCTATCATTATCTTAAGTCGGTGTCTGTATCTAGCATTATCTTAAGTCGGAGTCTGTATCTAGCATTATCTTAAATCGGAGTCGGTCTGTATCTATCATTATCTTAAGTTGGAGTCTGATTCTAGCATTATCTTAAGTCGGAGTATGTATCTATCATTATCTTTTCGGAAAATTAATTCAATAAATACGAGTGAATTACATACAAAAGGATAGTACAGTATATATATTTAACAAGAATCTTCCCTCCCTCAATTAAAAAAGTGGAATTTAAATAAAACGTTTAGACCAATGGTTACATGGCAACCCCAGAGGAAGTAGACACAGATTAGTTACCTCGGCGGAGACCCGGAGTAGCTCCGTGTACGTCTCTGTGATGATGGAGCCTTGTCGAGGCTTTCCGTGGTATATCCCAAGTTCCTGTAAGTTTAAAACACGGTTATAACAGGTTTACTTTTACGTCATCATTAACGTTCAGTTACTCAGTAAAAGTTGAAGAATTAAACATTGAATTATCAAGAACAAGACAGGGCATGATGTTGGAACCGCTGTTAAATTAACGGGTTTTCTGAATAAAACATTCACGATACGATTTTTCAAACTGTCTCAATAATTCGTTAATGTGCTAATCTTTTATTTAAATGACAATAATGAATATGAATACGTGAATATTTGCTAGATATTTTGGAATATTTGTAAGTGAAAAGTTCGCTGATAAAAATAACCTTAGCTTAACAGGCTACGTACAACCAGAAAAAGCGATCATGATCAAAGTTATGTCACCTTACCAGAATTATCAGTCAAATACTCAAAATAAAGACATCTTTCTAAAGTTCTAAAGAAATGTAAATTATGTCATCATTTGTTGTTTTCCGATCACAAATTTCAATATGTGTAATAATGTATGGTAGTTAGTAGCGTTAGTCGATCTTAACAATAATAATAACACCAGATAAAGATAAATGTCAGTGACTTTTAGAATCAACACTTTGCTAACTAGACGCTTCAAGACTCGGTTCCCGTTAGATTTATGCCCGTGTTAATAATGTATTAATGGATTTGATCAAGCGTATGTACAAAGGTTAAAAATCAAAGGAAATAACCAGCATCATCCATCAATCGCCATTATTAGCAATTCATTACACTTCACGAGCTTAATAGAAAATCGCATTATGCGGTCGAATGGAAAACATACGATCACACCATCCCAGCCAGCCATTCCAGCCATCCCAGATGTTTTTATAATAAACAAAACTTCTATTTTACCTTTGTTTTCGTCTGTGTGACATAAATAAAAAGTAAGAATGTGGAAAATATGTCCACATAATTTGTACACGTGTTTTATTAATTGTCAAATAAACGCCTATTTTTATTGTTCATTTGTAAAAGAAACGGGTAATGAAAGAAGAAAAATACAAAACACAATAAACCCGGAGAGAAATGTATTTAAAACAACAACATTGACCGACAAAAATAGGTGGGAATTGAGAACATGAAAGACTTGTATGATGATCCGAGATCATTATTGCTTGAAGTTTTCAGCTCATCAGTTTTCTCCAGGCAGGAATGTGAGGATGTGTTAAATTTACTTCAATTAAGAAGATGTTTGAATTAATTAATATACTCTCTTTTTTTTGTACGAAGTATGTTGTTGATCCAAATTGTTTTCATAAGAAAAGTCTCGTTTACACAAAGAACAGCTGACACATGAAATAATCTTCCAGTAGATGTGGAAGATCCGCCATCAGCCAGATATTTTGAATTCAAAAGGGACCAAAGTCAAGATTTCAAATATTTTTTATCTGCAAAAAGCTGACAATCAGGGGGGGGGGGGGATCCTGATAGTCAGAATAAACATACTTAACTTTGTATAGAGTGAATCAAAGTGCTTTATTTCATGGAGTATTACTACTATATAATTACCCTTGTTGTATTGTATATACGTTATTGATAACCCTTCTAACATTAATCTAGTTTTACCGTTGTATTAGTATCCTAACATAATTACTCAAACTGCACTCTTTTACTCCTTTTCACAATTATTCATCTTCCACAATAATTGGGTCAGTGGGTATTTACTCACCCCAAAATCGTCCCCTCGTTTTAACCTCACTAGTGTTTTCGCCGTTGATTTGTGTTCGTCAAGTTTCACAATTAAGACTGTAAAAAACAACAAAGTTAATTAAAAAAAACGTTTTAGCAAAACAAACTTCAATGCAATGGAACAAACTTAATCTGAACTTCAAAACTATGTCTAGTACCGTTTCATGATAACAAAGTTCCGCATTTAAAAAAAAAAATTGTGTGTTTATGTTGCCCTCCCTTCTATTTTGGTGTTTCCTCAGTTCCTGTTGCTGTCTTGTTTTAGAATGAATTGCGTTTGTGTTTTTACGCTGTGGTAGATTTTATTTCTAATATTTCAAAAAGATATTAAGACAAATTTTGATTCCATCTATACCAGCTTTTCAACATACGATTGTTTTTTGTCATGTTTAGCCTGAAGGAACAGTAACGTAAATATAGAAAGTTTCTGTTAAATGAAAAGATAGTCATTAACACAAGAGACGAACTAACGAATGGAACATGGGAAAATGTATGAGTCAGTTACAATAGTTTAAACAATAGATAAAATATTGCCTACATTTCTCCGTGATTCATCTTTCATTATCGACTTACTCTGTCCGTATATAATGATGTAATGATAACTTACTCTGT